ACCGCCTCCCTGCAGACCGTCCCCGCTTCCCATCCTCCCAGGGCTGCCAGAGCCACCTCTGCGTCCACCGGGACTCGGCAGAGCCGTCGGGGCAGTGGTGCCGGAGCGCGGAGGCGGCTGCCCATCGGCAGCAGGCAGCTGCCCGTCCTCAACTATTAGCACTGCTATCGAACTGTGCCTTATTCAAACCAAATGGTGGCTGCTGCTTGCCGGGGGGGGGAGGGTGGGGCGGGGAGGGGGTCTCGCTCCTCTCCGTGATATTTCTGTTGGGGGGTTTGGTTGTTCAGGGAGGTGGTTTTTTCTTCTCTTCGAGTCCTTTTTTTTTTTTATTTTTTATTTTTGTTGTTGGGACCATCTAAAATGTATCTAGAGAGGGGCTTTGCAAAGCCCTAGGAAATGTATTTCCAGTCCTGCCCTGGCCTGGGGCTTAGGAAGAGGCGCCTACTTCAGTCTTACCTGCCACTAAGTCTGTGTGTCTGTATGTATGTGTGTATATAATATATCCACGCTGTGTCCAACCCCGGCTATTATATAGATACATATATACAAGCACCCCTTTTAGCAGCTCCTGTGAGTCCCCGCTGTCCTGCCGTCTCACCGCTGTGATCCCTGGAGTGGTGAGTTTGGTCCTGGCTCTGTCTTGTCTTCCCCCCCTCCACCTTTTTTCCCTTTCCTGCCTGCCCTACTCCTCCCGGGCAGCGTTGGGACCCGGTACCCATTCCCGTGCCCATCCCATGGGAGGCATGGGGATGCTCGGAGGCATCTCCCTCTTTCCTTGTCTCATCTTCCCCATCCTCATCTCCTGCTGGGAGATGGCAGCTCTGCTCCCGTGAGGAGGATCTGGAGGATTTTGGCCATGGCAGGCGGGTTGGCCAGGGGGTGAGGAGCTCACAGGCGTCCCCCGCCCCTTGGGGCGCAGCCACGGGAGTCTTTTGGACCAACCGGCTCTCCAGGTTGCCCAGCTTTCCCAAGCCAGCAGTGGGAACCCGCGGGCCCAGCCCTGCGGTGAGTCACGGGCTGGAAAAGCGCTGAGCCAAAAAAAAAAGCCAAAACCCTGGGGAAGCAGCAGCGGCT